CACAATTTGGAGTTGTTTAAATAGGTGATAATTTTCTGTATTCTCATGACCTTTATACCTGATTCAAGGGTGATAATGTAAGGGGAAATTAGAAGCAAGTGGTCACTTTTAGCGGGAAAGAATTAAAACGTACTTAGGGCTGAAACACCAGAGTCACATATTTAGAGAATATTGACCGGCAATAGAGCATTTTCATTGGCTGATTTTAGTTATTGGCCCTCTGACTGCCCGAGTCGTGTAATAAAACGGCATATAGTATTAAAAAAAGTTCAGAAATGAAAAGAGACGAAGGAGCAAAGAGGTGCGAACAATTAAGTACAAATTCTTCGCTTTTGCTTGGAAAGTCACGCGGTTGGAAACAAACTATCATGGCGGATGCCAGTCAGGATTTTGTCTTCAACTGAACAAAATGTAACATGCTATTTTTTCTTTTTTTAAGTCACTTAACTGTGCGATTCGATTTACACGATAAACGATAGTAAACACGAACACTGTGTTTCTATCACAATACTCTACTACGTAGATTATTTACCTTTTTAAATTTTCGAGAAGCCGAAATGGTATCGGTCAGTTCTCGAGGTCGAACAACAACCACTCGTTGCATTGAATCTGAAGAAACATACGTCGGCATGGACAAAACGAACAATATCAACTTGCGGTAATAGGGTTGAAATGGCGTTTTTTCTGGCCCCAGTGAAATCGAGAAGGACGCTGAAACCTTTTGTAGTTCGTAAGCTCTTTCCACGTGCAAGACTGACTTGCAAACATGAATATTAATTTTAAGAGTATTTGTAGTTCAAATGAATTTTCCGACTATGAAAAACCGAAGACGAACACTTCTAGCTTATTTTACACTTGGCCAAGTTTGGCAAAGAGGAGTAAATGTCGTTTTATTTGCAAAAAAAAAAAAAAAATTACTGCACTTACACGAACTTGACCCTCATCTCGATCTGATTTCGTTTTCCATAGCATCTCGCGCTTGAAGGGTTCTACTGTACATTGATCTGCACTCGCCCGCGACGTAAAACATCAAGGACGAAGGTACGGCCTTGTCTTTTTTTTCTTGCGACCAGTAAAAGGCGCCTATATATATTCCTTTAAAATCGACACTGACCACCCACGCATCGGAAAGAGTTTGCTCCACCCTTCTTTTTCTCTTTTCGTTTCAAGGGCCCTCGCCGGGTCGGGATGCAGATGAGTAAAAATTTAGGGGTCAAGATTGAGCTAGTCTTCGACCACGTTTGTTCACTTGGACAGACTAGTTTTTAAAATTAAAATGTACAA